ATAATTGTTCTATTATTATCTAGATATAATTTTATTGTGCCTAATTTACAACTTAAACTTGATCATAGCTAATACATATATTTTAAAAAAATCAGTGTAAGTAGTTCCAGGCACCCACTGGGTGTTGTAAAGATATTCCCCACAGATAATAGAAATGAAAGAGTACTCTAGGGGCTAACCACAAGATACATGGTATCACAACCCTAGATGCTAAAGTGAATACGAAGCCACTCCCTTCACATTATTCATACATTTGATGGAGAAAGGTATAACACAGATGTGAGAAATATTTACACAGAGGATGGTGTTGTGGTGCAGCAAGTGAAGTTAGTCATCGTTTATGACATCAGCAGTTCATACTACAGTGCCAGTTCAGGTCTTGGCTACTCTGTTTCCCAAAATCTAGCTCCCACTAATGTGCCTGAGGAAGCAACAGAAGATGGTCCAGGTGCTTGGGGCTTGGGCTCCTGCCAGCCATGTGGGAGATCAAAGTATAGCTCTAGTGTCTTGGCTTCAGCCTAGCCCAAATCCAGCTGTTGAGGCCATTGGGGGAGTGGACCAGCAGATGAAAGACCGAGGCAGACAGACCAGCCAATCGCCTGACTTATCTACCTACCTCTTTCTTTCTCTCCACCATCACTCTGCCTTTCAAACAAATCAATCCTAAGAGAACTTTTACTCCTGGCACAATGGCTCAATTGGCTAATCCTCAACTCACAAGCTCCAGGACTCCATATGGGTGCCAGTTCGTGTGCCAGCTGCTGCACTTCCCATCCAGCTTGCTGCTTATGGACTGGGAAAGTAGCAGAGGATGGCTCAAGTGCTGGGACCCCTGCATTCACATGGGAGACTTGGAAGAAGCTGGCTTCTGGCTTCAGATCAGCTCAGCTCTGGCCACTGTGGCCATGTGAGGGATGAACCAGCAGATGAGAGATCTTTCTCTGTCTCTTCTCCTCTGTTTAAATCTGACTTTCAGTAAAAATAAATGTGTTTTTAAAAAACAACTATTTAAATAACACAAGGTACCAAATTTAAATGGTTAACCTTGATACCAGGGTTATGGATGTGCTTCTGTCTGTTTTTACAAAGCACATGAACTGTCAGAGTAGCAAGTAGCTTGGGGTTGGGATTGTGGTATACTGCGTAAAGCTGCCATCTATAACACTAGCATCCCAAATGGGTGCCAGTTCCTGTTCCAACTGTTCCACTTCTGACCTAGTTTCCTACTAACGGCTTGAGAAAAGCAGTGGGAGATGGCACAAATGTTTGGGCCCCTTTTCATCCATATGGGAAATCCAGATGAAGCTCCTGACTCCTGGCTTTGGCCTAGTTCAAACACGAGGTAGCCAACTCCCGGCCTTTGTGACCTTCTGGGGGTGCTGAACCACTGGATGGCGGATTTCTCTCTGCTTCTCCCTCTCCTTGTAAAACTTTTAAATAGATAAATCATTAAAATAACCTGGAAAAAAATCAAAAGCCTAAAATAAGTTGTACAGAAAAAAATAATTGAGGCATTTACATCAAGGACTGCTCAGTTTGGATTCAAATAGGTAGCTTCAAACTTCTCCTCTTAGGAGTATATGAGAGGTGAGACAATGGTAGTGCAGGCAGAGTTATCAACCTCAGTGAAGTCACTGGGATGGAAAAGGCAAGGACAGCCAGAAGGGACTGGAAGGCAGCTGGCATTGAGCCTGATGGGTAGGACACCCATACTGGAGTGCCTGGGTTAGATAGCTGGATCTGGCTCCCAACTCCAACTTCTGCTAATAATGCATACTCTGGAAAGCACTGTTAATGGATTGAACTGGATTCTGACCACCCACATGGGAGAGACCTGGTCCGAGTTCCAGGTCCTGGTTTTGTCTAAGCACAGGTCTAGTTGTTGAGGACATTTGAGAAGTGACCCAGCAGAATCAGGAGTGTTTCCTCACTCACTGCCTCGTAATGAGAGGGGCACAGTTTATCAATGCCCTTTAGGGTTCCTTTGTCAGATTGAGAACATGTGTAACAAAGTGTAACAACATATCATTATGTTAAAAAAAAAAAAAACCAGCACTATACTATCAAATCTCATATCAATTCCCAAGTAGGTATCATTATATTTTACAGTTAAAAACTGAAATTAAATAGGAAAAGTTAATTAACTTCCCCAGATTTGAACCCTGGATCATTTGATCCACGCTCATTTTTACCACCCCTTGACATCTCTTCCTAAGGCCTACCCCTGTCAACACTCTGAATATAGATCATTCTCATTTTGTGGTATACTCTTCCACCCTTGTGGCTACCTAGTATCCACACGGCAATTCTTGTATATTAAAACCTGCCCTTGGGCCCTGCACCGTGGCCTAGTGGCTAAAGTCCTCACCTTGAATGCGCCAGGATCCCATATGGGCACCAGTTCTAATCCCAGCTGCCCCACATTCCAACCAGCTCCCTGCTTGTGGCCTGGGAAAGCAGTTAGAGGACAGCCCAAAATCTTGGGACCTTGCACCCGTGTGGGAGACCTGGAGGAAGTTCCTGGCTCCTAGCTATGGATTGGCACAGCACCAGCCATTGCAGTCACTTGGGGAGTGAATCATCGGATGGAAGATCTGCCTCTCTGTCTCCCCTCCTCTCTGTATATCTGACTTTCCGATAAAAATAAATAAATCTTAAGAAAAAAAACCTGCCTTCAAGAGGTATCTTCAACCAAAATACAAATAAACTAATTACAGTTTGCCCTGCCTGGGGTACTCAGGTAAAAGAATGAAGCTCTGGTACAAGCTTCATGGTGGAAATTAACATGCATCTCAGGAGTCAGGACGAGGATGTGTCTCACAATGTCCATTTTCACAGCTTTCAGTAGACTAAAGCCCATACTTGAGGCCCAGAGGGTCTCTGCATAGGTCTAAACATTCCTAATCTGGGGCATAAAAATGCCAAATATGGCTGCAAATTTGCTGTAAATTTTAAGTATACGGCATAAGAAAATCTAAATCTAAATACATGTAAACCACCAGATATTTCCTTAATTACTTATTAGGTTGCCAAAAAACGTGCAAATAGTTTTGGGGTTTTTGTTTCTTTGTTTTTGTTTTTTAAAGATTTATTTATTTTTATTGGAAAGTCAGAGAGGAAGAGACAGACAGAAAGATCTTCTATCTGCTAATTCACTCCCAAGTGACTGCAATGGCCAGAGTTGAGTTAATCTGAAGCCAGGAGCCAGCAGCTTCTTCTGGATCTCCCATGCAAGTGCAGAGTACCAAGGCTTTGGGCCATCCTCCACTATTTTCCCAGGCCACAAGCAAGGAGCAGGATAAGAAGTGGAGCAGCCAGGACCTGAACCTGTGCCCATATGGGATCCGGGTGCATGCAAGGTGAGGACTTTAGCCACTAGGCTACTGCACTGGGCCTGTGCATATAGTTTTATACAATGATCTTTTTGTTGTCTCTGGGAACCCAGGGGTGGGGGCATTCATTTTATTGCTTTCCCCTTTCTCATGAGTAAAGATTTTATAGGTCTTTAATGTCCAAAATGTCAACTTTCAAAGGAACGAAAATAAAATTCCCATGGGATCTCAGGATACATAAAGACAAGTAGGCAGAAGATCAGGGCCCTGACAGGGATTGCTCCATAGCACTTACTATGGAAAAAGTCTACCCAACTGTTCACGTGCCAAAACCAGAAAGTAGTAAGAACCAGGGCAAAGGTCTTCCCAGCAACTTGGAGGTTCCTCTTGAACTGCTTTAATGGGCCAAGCAACGTTAAGAGTTTCAGAATGATGGTGCAAGTTCTACCATAAGAAATCTTGAAAAATATATTAAAATATAAGTTTTGCATAGGAATTAAAGGTAAAGGTAACTTGAGGAGTTAACACTGCTGTCAAAAAAAATGTTGTTTTATCTCTCTCAATAAATCACCTTTTCTGCAGTGCCACAGCTGGGGACTGACCTGATGGGAATCTCTGGGGATGCCCCTGTTATGTTCTCATGTGTGAAATCTGGGGGCAAGCTAGGCCAGTCCGGGCTAGGCTGCAGCACTGGCCAGCTAATACTGGGGCAGGGGACACAGGGCCCATGCTGGGCTGGATCAAAGCATCTGTCAACAAATGCAAGAACTGGGGCTGAGGGTGGGCTAGGCTAGGCCAGGTCATAGCACCTGTCATTTTACATGAGAGCTGGGACTGGGGGCAGGGCTGGCCAGGTAGCTGCACAACCAATACATGTGTTGGCTGCTGTAAGAGGTGGTTCTGGCTCGACTCTGCATCAAATGACGCACCCAAGGGCTTGGTATGAGAACCAGCGGAGGTTTATTACAGGTTCTCCAACTAGATCATAGTGCTCGATCCCCAACATAAGGGAAAATCACACACACATGTGGTCCAACCCCAGAGCACATGTTGCAGTACTGAGCCACCTCAGCTGCCCTCTCCCATGCCAGAATACAGAGAGCATACCTTGACACACATGAAAGAGCCTACTCATCTAAGCAACAGAGAACTTCATATACCTTTTGAAAGAGTGAAAAAAAATTTTTACAATAGGTTGAACAATACTCCAGTCATACATTATGGTAAACACCTAGCTGAGGTAGACATGGACAGCCAACAGGCCTTAGAATGAATTTTTCACTTCTGACACAATGAAGACTACAACTTAGAACAATCAAGACAACTCAAGTAACAGTCTCAGAACACTCTTCCCTTCGGGGGGAGGGGGTATCTAAGGCAACATCAAACCACCGTCTTTGTGCTCGGGCACCGATGCAGTCTCAGCACCCACCCCACACACATTTACCTTACCCACCTTCTCCTTTCACCCTGACCCTCTCCATCCTAATCAGAGGCCCACATGGGTCAACAACCCCTTCACCTTTGTAATGCACATTAAAATAAAGAAATTGCCTTTTAAGCAAATTCATTTTGTCAAGCTATGATATAGAGACAGACAGCTAAATGTGCCAGTACATTTTAGAGGTAGAATTGTTTGAAAAAGCAGGAAGAGAATGTAGCCCTTACATATCTGGATGGTTCTTCCAGGTTTTGGTCATTCATGTCAGTAGGAACAATCTGGGTGGCCAACGGCCCCTCTTCAAAAGGTTTTGGTAGCTGGCCTCTGAACTCTGATGGAATGAACTGAAGCTGCCAACTGTCAGAAACACAAAGGAGGAGAGGAAGAAAAACACAGGGGATCATATTGCTAAATGTACTTGAGACAAACAAACCACATATCATGTGAAAAACATTTCACTTGAAGAAAAAAATATTTCTGCTAAAACCTTAACCCGGGAGCACAGAGACAGAGTTCACGATTCAGTCCAAGAGCATTGAGAAATTTACAACCAGAGGTTTCTCAATCCATTTTACCAGCTCTTGGCAGGGAAGCTTCAACCAAAGAGCTCTGAATCATGAAACGACCATTATCATTAATTGTCAGGTGATAAAAAGGTCCTAGGAAAACTAAAGAAAATTCATCAGGTATACAAAAAAATGGATGAAATATTAACACGCAGCCCTAGAAACACACTATGGGGGAAACAGTTGGTCCTTAATTCATAACCTATGAAACTATTTCAGACGTTAAAAAAAAAAAATCAAAGGCCAAAGTCAACACTGAAAAAACATACTTCAATTTAATCATTAATGAAGCTGCCATAGTGGTGCTGCAAGTTAAACTGCTTTTTAAAATGCCAACATCCCATAGCTGAATGACAATTCAAGTCCCAGCTGCTCAGTTTCCAATCCACCTCCCTGCTGGTGTGCTTAGGAAGACAGCAGATGATGATTTCAGTACTTGGGCCCCTGCCAAGTCACTGGGAAACCAAGAGGAAATCAAGAGGGAAATCAAACCAGAGTTCCAGGCTCTTTGCTTTGGTCTGACTCCATGGCAGTTGGGATATATACGGAGTGAACCAGCAAATGAAGGACAGTCTCTTTCTTTCTCTCTGCTCTTCCAAATAAATCTTTTTAAAATGTCATCATCAAGGATTGATGCAGGGTTTTTATTAAGTAGAAGATACTACCACCAAGCGGAGCTAACCTGCTGAATCCAGTTCTACAGCAGATTTCTCTTTTACCTAAATAGGATTCTTCTTTGGCCAAAGCAGGCAGAAAACAAGTAAAACTAGGAGATATGCTATCACATTTAACAGCAGACAACATTAAGGAAGCTGGAACAAATGTTTTACCATAGCTTTCCCCAGTATCCCTGCACTGATGGGTAACTTTTACCACTTTTAGGTAATACCACTGAAGATAATACTGTTTGAGGACCATCATGGTGTGGTGAATTAAGTCACCACCTGCAGGCCCAGCATCCAACACAGATACTGGTTTGAGTCCTACATGCTCCACTTCTGATCTAGCTCCCTGCTAATGTGCCTGGGAAAGATGATGACGGTCCAAGTGACTGGACCATTGCATCCATGTGGGAGACCCAAGAGAAGTTCCTGCCTCAGGAACCTGGCCCAGGTCTTGGCTTTGCAGCCATTTGGGGAGTAAACAAGTGGATAGAAGCCTTGTCTCTCCTCTCTGTAAATCAGCCTTTCAAATTAAAAAAAAAAGAAAGAAAAGAAACAACAACCAAAAAAACCTTTCTAAAAACTTCTAACTACAATTTCCAGGCTACTTTAGAAGGGGATTCACTTCAAGTAATTACAGAATTATGAAAATGCATCCTCAGCAAGAGCACAATAGAGGAGCCCTAGAACCAATCCGTCCTCAGAAGTCATGGTTGTGCTCTGCGACACAGCCTACTGCCTCACCAACACAGAGAGCAGGTGCACATGGCAGACCCTACTGCTCCCTGAAACGGTGAATAATTCAGTAACTTTCCATGAAAATTCTAGAATGAGATAAAAATGAAACAGACACTCATAAAATTACAAACTTTACAACTTGATTTAAAATTATGAGAATGAAAGATCAACTTACTTATCAGGCAGGAGGAAGCTGCTGGGAAATCGATACCACTCTTTCCCCACACAGACATTCACAGGTCTGCCTTCCGGCACAGTGTGGATGGCCAGGTCTGTAGCAATTCGATAAAATTCTGGATACAAATCAAGGGGCCCATGATATCCTGGAGGGGAGAACAGCCAGTGAAAGCCAAAGGTGAGGAAGGAGAGATATTCTGACATTTAATCACAAAGCATGCAAATATTCCACTCTAATCCATGTGAAACTTCAAGAGTAGGGCAAGTGATGGCAAAGCCACCAGGAAGCCAGCTCTTAAGCACAGCTGCCGCAAAGAACCCATTCTGCCAAAAATAATTTGCCTTCCTGCCCTTCTCTACATTCTTTCACCTTTTTAACTGTGTGCTCTTTAAGCATGCTTGAATATTTTGGGTTCCAACAATGGCTATAAGAATAGAATAATGAGACTTCGGCTATACATTGGCAACTTAAGGTTAAGGCTTCCCTAATTCATCAGTAGTCATTCAAACAAAAAAAAAGAAATCACAAGAACAGAGCAAACAATGTACAGTTAATCACACTGGAAGTCATTCTCAATTTCCTCTTCAATCCTAAGGTACAAAAGTTGCATCCCACTATTAATCATTAGGTCTACATAGTCTCAAACTACAAAAGGCCTCTCGTACTGTTAAAAGCTATATATAAACTCGAGCAATTCCACCCAGATAAAACCAAATGAGGAGTACATCTACCTCTGAATAGTGCCACAGAGCGAGAAAAAGACAAGAGCCCAAACAGGAAGACTGTTCCCAATGCCAGCCAATTTGATGTCACAGTGTAGTGCTCCAGGCAGTAGCGCTGAAAAAAAAAGTGATAACATTTCTAGAAGGAAAAAAGAAAAAATTGCGTTGCTACAAGAAGATTTATCTTGCAGAACATACATAACACAAGACATCACAGAAACACCAAACGCAGATGAAGCAGAGAAGCAGGTCTTATTCGGGACCTAGGCATTTGCAAACACTTAGACTCTGGACTAAGAACTGAACTAAGATCAAAGCCAAGTCCCCTACACTCGCTGTGGGTGGGCCCAGCCAGAGGGCCTGCCAGGTATGAAATCCCACCAGCTTCTCAGGAAAATTATCTGGATATTTTACTAGTGGCTTAAAGTTCTGTTAACTTTTTTTAAAAAACTTTTTAAAGATATTTAAGCTAAATGCATTTTGTTAGTTTTCTTTGATGTATTTCAAGCTGTTTTGGTAAGAACAGTAATCCTTATCAAGTTTTCATTGAAGACTGCAGTATCAATAAAACATCTCATGACCAAAGAAGAAAAAAAGAATTTCTCACAGAACATCAAGAACACACTAATTACCTAAACAACTTCACAGACCAGATGATTATTACACACACACACACACACACACACACACACACACACACACACACGCATCTCTGCTGAGTTCAAGATCTTCTCAGAATTCTTTCCTTTCCTCACCACTCCTAGATGGAAACTACTTTTGGAAACCAATTTTGCAATATGTAACAAACATCATAAATATAAATGTTTCATGTTAGAGCTGTTCTCAGGAAATAATCCAAATAACTGAAGATACATATCTGTAATATTTATAATAGTACATAAGCAACTTAAATGCCAGCAAGAGTTATATCTAATCAGTACACATAATGAGTTCAATATATTATATCTAATTCAGCGCAGCATTATAAGGCTATTAAAACAATGGTCATAAATATGGCAACATGAACAGTACCTTGGTATAGCAAATTAAAAATACAAAGTTATATGCATACTTAACACAGCCATAATAAACCTCAACATACAATATGCACAAAAGTGTCAATGTATTTCTGTTAAAGTACTGATACTCCTTCTAAACAGCTTTCTAATAAGTTATCTACAAGGAGGCTCAATTACTTTTATAATTAAATTATTTCAGAACTATCACCCTAACCTAGATAAATATTATACTAGGAGAGAAAAAAGTTACAAAAGGTTACCTACTCATTAATCCACTTGTATGAAATGGCCAGAAGAGGCACAAATACTGGAAAAGCAAGTAAACTGGTAGTGACTAGGGATGGGAAGACATGAAAAAGGATGGGGGAACAAAAGCTCAAGACACAGGCTTTCAAGGTGATGAAAATGTTCTAAAACCGACTGTGGTGATGGTTGTACATTCTGTGAGTGTACTACAACCCAGGGAACTATTCCCTTGAAGTACCTGCACTGCAGGATTTGTGAGTTCTCTCTCAGGAAGCTGTGAAGAGGGTTGGGGGGAAGTATCATCACCAATTCCAAATGGTAACAAAGGGCAAGAAAGAGTTCCAAGGCGGCTAAGGTCACAAACACACTGAAAACCAGGGCAAGGTGAGCTTTGCCAGGACCTGACCTGGACAGGTGTTAAAACAGGATTATAAAGTATCCCATATGACTAGCTGCTGGATGTAATCCCAGACTATCAACCAGGTTTTATTCTCATTAGTCACAGAAGAGTATGTCTGCCATGAGTTCTGCCAAAGTGCATCCATCCACTGATTTAACATTCCTTATCAGCAACAACTGGAATTGCACAGAGGACGACAGTAACATTGTCAGTGTACGAGATGATGACAAACAGCTAGGCAACCAACACATAAACGAATAATATGACACCTATCACTTTCAAAGTTACAGAAACATTCCGTCATTTTCCCTTAAGTTTTGTAAACAAATCTACAGTGAAACAAGTAAGGCACACATACTTTTCCCTAAAGCTCACCTGAAGCGCAGAAAGAGCCACAGCGCCACACAGGCATATCAGTGGGTACACAGGGAAGAGAAATCTCTCCTCTTTGTGAGACTGGCTGAAGAAAATCACAAACCAAATATACATTGGAGCCAAGGTAAGCCAGTACGGGTGGCCTAAATTCTGAACTGTAAGACAGAAAAAAATATCCACCTTTCACCACATGAGAGTAAAACAGCATCTTTTAGTTTCAATGTTCTCTGGTTTTGAAATTTGGGAGTGGCCCTTACGGCACCCCACAAAACATCAGTTCATGAATTCCCATTTTCTCCAGTGAGATAAAGGTGTTAAGTAGAAAGAGGAGTAAACACGTCAGCTCTTCCAAGAGATCCAACATCTCTAGGCAGGTGCAACACCTGAGTCAGCCAGAACCCAAGTGAAAGGATAACAGTCAACACAATTTCAATTCCACAATGGATTAAAACAAGACAAAACAGAAAGTCTTCCACCTCTTATGAGGAACTGCTATTAAGATTTCTGAGATTAATCAATAGTGTACCACAAACCATTTCTTGGGTCTTAATTTTTATGCACTGTTTAACACACTAGTCTTACCTATACACCAACTAATCTGTTCAAATAGTCACAGATCAAGGAAAAAAAATCGTCATTTGCTTTCATTGAGCCACAAGCGACAGTTTATTTCAAGGTTAACATAAAGATACTTTTAAAGTGGTTTGCCAATTAAGTTTTCTTTAATATCTGTTCATACTGAATCCCAAAATTAGAACCAAAGTGTACTTTAAGCATATGAAACAATTAGAGGAACATTATGAGCACTAGTTCCAAACACCTGTGATTTGGTACAAGTGCACTGAGTGATAGGCCCACAACCAACTGTGAAGGCATGTCCTACTGTGACTTTATTGGCCATAATGAATAGCAAATACAGGAACACAGGCAAAGAGTGGACCGACAGCGCCCCCTGGTGTCCTCTATGCCTACAGTGAGCAAAAGGACCACATCACAATGCTAATCACATCAGCATTGCCTAACAACGTTCCTAGATTATCTGAACCTCTGCAGAAATTCTTTAGGGAGAAAAATTCTTAAACTGCAATAACAAGCTTAGTTTCTAAGCTTTTCATTTTAACATCATGAGACTCTTAGGTTACAATGTATGATAGTATATTCAAATTGGGATTTTTCTAATTGAAAAATAAAATCAGAAAACTTACTAGTGCTGTGGTACAATGAGTTGGACTGCCACCTGCAACACCAGCATCCCATGTGAGTGCTGTTTTGAGCTCCCTGCTTATGCTCCTGGGAAAGTGGAGAACACCACCCAGGCACGGTACTCCAGCTTGGAGACACGTGGAAGACAGAGAGGAAGCTCACGGCTTGGCCTCACCAGCCTGGGTCACTGTGGCTATCTGGAGAGTGAATCAATAGATGCAGAATGGCTCCTGTGTAATTCTTTCAAATAAATAAAAATTATTTTAGAAAGATTTTCTAGTTTTTTTTTCTCTTCTACACTTCAAAAAATTTTTTAAATATGGCCAAAGTTTTTGAAATGTGCTCCAAAAAAAAGTATAAAATCAAACACAGCAGAGACAACCCACTAGGCAGATATGTGAGAACATTATACACATTGTTAAGGCAAAGTTACACTCACACTGCACACAACAGTTTCGGTTTTTTGTTTTTGTTGGTTTTTTTTTTTAACTTAAATCTTTACTTCTAAATCTTCCACGCACATCATGTATTTTTATGGTCAGGAAGGAGGTTACTTTTCAAAGACAAAAGAAAGGCATCCCTTAAGAAATTCAAGGATTGGAGGAATAAATTCACACCTCCAGAGAACAAAAAAAAAAACTGAATTAAAAAATGTAAATATCACACAAACAAGATCAATGAGCTGGTTTCTTAAAACAAATAAAACAAACCAAAAAATACCTTTGGGAAGAAAGTTTAGGAAAACTAACTCCAAATTCAGCATGTGGCCCTGGTTCAGATTCTGCTTTACATAAACTAAACACAGAAAAGCCTTGTTTAGACAAAACTAGGATATGCATCAACTGGGTATCAGATGATATTAAGGAATGATGTTAGTATAATTGTATTCTGTTCATGGTCAGAGAAAAGCGCCCAAAAGTGATTTAGAGAACAGTTCTCAGTCTAATATTATGACATAGCTAATGTTTTATGAATCATTAATAGTAGAAAAGGAGAATTGTGGGTTGGGGAGAATTAATTTTACAGCATCCTGATCAGAAAAAGCAGAAATCTCCAAAGCTTGAAAGGATTTCTGCTCCAATCTGCCTTCTATAAAATAAAGTGCAGGCACCGAACAACCATAACTTTGAGAAAACACAGGCAGTGTACTACACAATCAACATGACACCCCAAACCTACAGAGGCGCAAACACAGCTGCAAAACAAAGCGGCTTGTTGCTTGGGAAGTCTAAAGCTTTTCTTAACTTCAGTATTAAATGTAGGGAAAATCCTTACCTGCCTCAGGCTTAACAAATGTTGGCTTTAGTGATTTCTGAAAGAATGTTTGCCACCAGCTGGGGCCACTCGGAGCCATCTACCAGGTTAACACACACTTCTTTACAAGCTGAAGATTCAAACAGGCTGTCTTCCAGACGGCCCTAATTGGTTTTGTCTCTTTGAGTAATTGTGTAAATTACACTGACCTCTTCATTCGAAGGGATATGAAGCTCTTCTGACCAGCTTAATTTGCAACAAATTAATCATAATGCACATGGCATTAAAATTATGCACAGATTTAAAAATTGCTTGGACCAAAATTAATCTTGTAATTCCATTTCATCAACTTGTTGAAGCATTCCTCACAGGTTCAAATGAGTTACCAACACAGTCTTAAAATTCAGCTAACATTTCCACAGGAAGAAGATGGAGAATAACATCAGCACATCTCATTTTGTCTTCTTGGTATAAATCGATAGTTATTTTTTTCCTCTGGCCAAGAAAACCTAGCATCTCTTGTCACTCACCATGAAATCTCTGCAGCAGGTATTCCATCACAGAAGTCAGTGGCAAGGCCAGGAGAGCCAAAGCAAAGGCCACATTGAAATTCAGAAACCCGTTAATTAAATAGAAATACCAGGGTTCAGTGCCTGAGGGAGACAAAGAATTCATGAGTGGATGCCTTTAACACCTCTTACAGCATTTGACTTTTTTTTTTTTCAAGTAACACTGATGCCAGGATTCAAGAGAATGTGGTACACTTGCTAACCTACTGCTTGGGATGCCCATGTGCCATACTGGAGTGCTTGGAATCAAGTCCTGCCTCTACTTCTGATCCAGCTTCCTGCTCATGTGCTTGACAGAAGGTGGGTGATAGCCCAAGTACATGGGTTCCTGTCACCCATGTGGGAAACCCTGACAGAATTCCCCTCTTGACTTCAAAGTGATGTAGCCCTAGCTGTTACAGGCATTTGGGGGTTGAAACAACAGTGGAAGATGTCAGCTGTATTTTCCATATCTACTGAAAACAGATTGTATCTATTTAAAAAAAAAAATGATTGATTTTTATTGCAAAGATAGATATACAGAGAGGAGGAGAGACAAAGATCTTCCATCCAATGATTCACTCCCTAAGTGGCTGCAATGGCTGGTGCTGCGCCAATCCGAAGCCAGGAGCCAGGAACTTCTTCCAGATCTCTCATATAGGTGCACAGTCCCAAGACTTTGGGTCACCCTCGACTGCCTTCCCAGGCCACAAGCAGGAAGCTGGATGGGAAATGAGGCTGCTGGGATTAGAACTGGCGCCCATATGGGATCCTGGCACATTCAAGGTGAGGAATTTAACCGCTAGGCCACCATGCTGAGCCCTGCATCTATCTTTTGTTCTATCACAAGATGACAAGATGGTTCCTCCTCCAAAGAACATAATTATGGGGTGTCATCTTAGGAGTGGTGATCTAGGGCCCAGCCCAGGAACGGTTCATGTCCTGGCTGCTTCTCCTCCCATCCTGCTCCCTGCTAGTGGCCTGGACGAGGACGGCCCAAAGCCTTGGCACCCTGCACCTGCATGGGATACCCAAAAGAGGCTCCTGGCTTCAGATCGGCTCAGCTCCAGCTGTTGCACCTATTTGGGAATGAATCAGTGGACAGAAGATCTTTCTGTCTCTCCTTCTCTCCGTGTATCTGACTTTTGAATAAAAAAAATAAATCTTAGAAAAAAAATGGACACCTAGTGCTGACCAGACACCAAATCTGCCACTACTTTGATCCTGAAGTCCTAGTTTGCAAAAAACTGAGAACTTTCTGTCCCTTTTAAATGACCCAGGCTCAGGTATTTTGTCACAGCAGCACTAAGACAGAAACTTAAAATCATCCAGCCCAAACCAGCATGCTCAAATGCATTAATACTTTCAAAAGTATTAGCTCAGTTTTCAAATTTTGCCTCAGTAATTTCTGAAAGAATGTTTGCCCCGGGTGCCTGATAGGGGGTAGGACTGGGGGGCAAACAACCAAGCAAAGTAGAAGCACACAGTCACATGGAGCTATAATAATAAAGTCCTTTGAGTTTGGCTACTGGGTGGGTGGTGGCTGGCTGCGGGCAGCAATAGAAGAAACTCAGTCTGAGCTATTCAGGCCTCTCCCATTCTGTTGTCACCTGCTAGTTCAATTCTATTACCTTTCCTTGTGATGGGGTCAACCACTGTTTTATTATCACGGTACTGTGCACTTGGGAAAAAGCAACAACTGGACAAACTGAGGCCCTCCTCAGAAGATCTGACAACTCAGAACTGAGCCAAATGACAGAACACACAGCCTCACTCATACCAGTTTTGCTGCTTTAACTCGAAATCCTCAAGCCCAGTGATGAGAAACAGCACCCCCCACACACAACTCCCCTGCATATTTAGCAGGCTTTTCATCTGCTTTTCCCCTGTGTATGATTACTTCAATCAGGCAGTGAATGACACATGTGGGTTTTAATCACTGTATGTTGTGACACCCGCCTTGCACCATAGCAATTTCCTGCAATCAGCATTGCTTAAAAGGGTAATCAGGAGGCAGAGGAATAGTCAGAAAAACCTGACATTTTTGCAGCTTGCGCAGCAAAAAAATAAGATTAGAAACCAAACCCATAATGCGAGAAACATCCAGGGAAGGACTAGGAGGGAAAGGGGCTACACGAAGGAAGGGCTCAAATTCAACTGTGTTTCACACTTGGGAAAAGCTCACTCTTTCCTGTCCAAACACAACGAGGAAGCTTGTTCAGGAACACAGGTCTTGTCCTAGGCCAAGCTCATAAGGGAACTTCTAATTTTATATTCTTTACAAATAAGGGTTTGAGCTTCAGAAACTAATGGATAGTTTAATATTCAAGACAGAAGTGTGCCTTCTCTGAATTTTAATCGACGTTTACCATATTTCCTAAAGCGAGGCCTTTTGAGATCCAGTTTCCACAGGGCTAAGCTTTTGTATGATCCTCTCCTCATTTCCATTGTGGAAGCAATGCCATCACTACCTACCTGCCTCCTCTACAGCGTTCTGAAGAATTGAGCTTGTGAAGGAAAACCACAGAGTGAACAAAGAGAAAAGGGTCAGTCCTTCCAATCATCTCTCACGGATAACTCAGCTCAGCAGAAAGAGTCCCTTGTCTCTTTGGTATCTGCCAACACAGGGCTTTCCTTCCCCCAGAAATGCTCCTTAGGCTCTTGAAAACATCTGCCTTTATCACAACTTACTGTGTCCTCTTGTTTCAGCTAACTTCCTAACTAAATACTCAGCCTGTACCCTGAGCTTTGGAACCTGAAGTACCAAACTGGCAAACTCAAGTTGTTTTTTTTTTTTTTAAGTGTTGAGAGCTCATAAATCAAGTTCTCCAGCAGTGAAAATTTCATAACACTCTGCTATTTCCCTGAAGGACGAGGACAAAAATTGGGGTAAGCCAAGAGTGAAGAGAGTTCAAGTGACAAAGAGTCTCAAAAACAAGGGCAAAAAGGCACAAAGAAGTGAAATTCTGTTATTTAGTGTCCTCCCCTACTTGATGAGACATCAGCACTGGAAAAGAAAAGGTTATCAACTTGTCTTTCTAGGTAGATACTCAGTGCTGAATGATCAGAAAGCTTCAAAGCTGAACTGTGCAGAGAGCGGTGTCAGAGTGACAAGCTAAGCAGCAAAGGGGTGAGAGATGGAAGGGGGAGCTGGCAGCAGTTATCTCTGCATCGAGTGACTCACCAACCTCCCCCTGCAGGGAAAATGCCTCAATTGCGTTCATTCAGATGAGCTAAAGGGAGTTCTGGAGGAGGCTAAAAGAAGATATAGTGTTTACCATTCCAAGGATTGAACCAAGAGGAACCATTTTACAGGCCTGTAATTTTATAGAACTGTAAAAGCTAAATTACAGTAAGCCATCCTTATAACTGTCAAATTTGCATCAAGAGGGAAGAACTACTCAGTTTCCACAGAAATGATTAACCAGAGTGAAAGCTACGGACCACTCTCACTGGCAGTCAGTTCTAAGCAGGACCTCCTGAGACTCCACTTGGGTCTTTCCCTCTGTGGCTCCAAGAATGGAAGGCCCTGGGCCTTCCAGCTGAGGACACTGGCCTCCACTTCCTGAAACTTCCCGAAACTTTCCATCTGGCAGTCAGACAGTGCTTGAGAAAACATTTTAACAGTCAACAGGACCCTGGTCCTAGACTACAAAGTGGCACCTATGAACAGGCACATCCTTCCTTTTAAGGGAAGGCATTTCACCAAAACGCCCACCTATACCTTCCCCAGGACCAAGCATTCCTCACCAGATAGCACCACTGATATCACCCACCAGACAAAAACTCATGTAGGGGGCTAGAGCTGTGATGTAGCTCATAAAGTTGTTGCCTGCAGTGCCAGTACCTAATATGGACAGCAGTTCGAATCCCAACTGTTCCATTTCTGATCTAGCTCCATGCTAATGGCTTTGGAAAGCAGCAGGAAGCACATTTGGCACTTGGGTCCTTGCACCCACATGGGAGACCTGGAAGCAGCACCTGGCTTCGGACAGAATGGCCCAGCTTCAGCAGTTGCAATTATTTAGGGAGTAACCTAGAGAATGGAGCATCTGTTTCCAGCCCCCACCACATTAACTCTACCTTTCAAACAATCTTTAAACAAAAAAAAAATCCCACTCATGTTGATATCAACATCTGAGAACTTGAAATGTTACAAGAGGCAAAACTCTCTCTTCTGTGACGATTTTACCTACAAATACATAACATTTTTGTCTATACCATCCTAAACTTCCTACAGGCCAAGTATTCTTTAGGGCATCCAAACACTGCCTCTTTCTTCAGCTAGAGCCCAGAGCAGCACTGCTCCCCCATGAGAGGGAAGCCGCCAGTGTGTGTGTGTCACTCTATTCTTTCCCCAAATTCTCCAGGGTCTCCTGATCAACCTCTAACATAAAATGCAGACTCTCAAAGGTACAGCCTCTCTCTGTAGATCAAATCATTGCACCTTCCACTAGCCCCACCAAATTCACAGTCTTTGCTTCTATACGCGTACTCTCTCAGATTTTCAATAGAAAACCCCAGGGTTTGTTTGCGAAGGCTGTTCTCAGTAGAAATAACAAATCTGACAGTCACACAACCCTGGCCATTCATTCCATTTCTTCCACTTAGTTAGCTATGTGACAAAGTCCCTCACCATCATTTTCCTCATCTGTGAATCAAGATAAATAACGCCTATCTAACATGGATCTTATAAAGGGCAAGAGAAGATGGTATGTGTAAGATTTATTGCCTGCATTAGTTATTCAACAAACAGAAGACTTTATAATTAATGCCTACAAAAAGAACTTCATTTTTTTAAGAGTTATTTATTTGAAAGGCTGGGTTATACTAGTTCACTACCGAAAATGGCTACAACCCAGAGCTGGGCCCATCCAAAGCCAGGAGACAGCAGTTTCTTCTGGGCTTCCCATGTGGGTACAGAGGTCCAAGAAGTTTGGCCATCTTTTGCTGCTTTCTCAGATACAGTAGCAAGGAGATGGATAGAATTGGAGCATCCAGGACTAAAAGCAGCTCCTGGATTCTGGCTTCAAATTGGCTTGGCTCTGACCATCACAGCCATTTGGGGAATGAACCGCAATGGAAGACGTCTCTCTCTCTCACTT